ACGTCTTCGGTGACCAGGAAGGCTTCAATGCCAAGATGAACGTCGCCATGAGCGGCGAGGGCGGTGAGTTGGTTGTTGGCCGCGGCGCGGGCGGGATGGGCATGCGTGCTGTTGGTCCGGGCACTGAAGGCTTCGGTCGCGTCGGTGGCGTCGCCAGGGGCGGTGGCGGCATCAGCGAGCGTGGCGTTGGCCTGGGGAGCGTCGGGAGAGGCAGTTACGGCAAGGGGGTCAAGATCAAGGGGCCGACACAAACAGTAGGGGGTCGCGTCGATGAGTCGTCTCGTCGTCACCGCGCGCAAAACTCGGGCGTGCTCGCTTACCGCAGTAGTCATCAGGGCGCTCCATCGGTGAGCCAACCTGCGCAGCCAGCCGTCCCATTTGCCGAGTCTGCCGGGAATGAGTCCTACAAGGATCATGGCGTCAACCCGATGACGGACACCAAAAAGGATCGCTTCTCGACCTTTGCCATCGACGTGGATACGGGCGCGTACACCATCGCGCGGCGCAAGCTCAAGGAGGGGCACACACCTCCCGCAGCGTCGGTGCGCGTCGAGGAGTTTATCAACTACTTCTCCTACAACTACCCGAACCCTGACTCTGGCCCCTTTGGCGTCAACCTCGAGGCGGCGCCGAGCCCATTTAGCGTCGAGAAGGATCGCTACCTGGTGCGCGTGGGCGTGCAGGGTAAGCGCGTCGCGCAAAAGGATCGAAAGCCCGTGCACCTGACCTTCCTGGTGGATGTGTCCGGGTCGATGAATCGCCCTGATAAGCTCGGTTTGGCCAAGGAATCACTCAAGATCCTGACGAGGAACCTGAAGCGCGGTGACACCGTGGCGCTGGCGACCTATGCGGGGAACACGCGCGTGGTGCTCACGCCGACCTCGAACAAGACGCAGATCCTGGACGCGATCGACAACCTGCGCTCGGGCGGCGGCACGGCGATGAGCTCGGGGATGGAGCTCGCCTACAAGCAGGCGCTCTCGAGCTACAAGAAGGGGCACGTCAACCGCGTGATCGTGCTCAGTGACGGAGACGCCAACATCGGGCGCACCTCCTTCGAGGACATCCTCTCGACGATCAAGTCGTATGTGGACGAGGGCGTGACGCTCTCGACGATCGGCTTCGGCATGGGCAACTACAAGGACTCCCTGATGGAGCAGTTGGCCAACAAGGGGAACGGCAATTACTACTACATCGATGACATCAAGGAGGCGCGGAAGGTCTTTGGCGAGCAGATCGACGGGACGCTCGAGGTGATCGCCAAGGACGTCAAGATCCAGGTCGAGTTTAACCCGGACGCTGTCTCGAAGTACCGTCTGATCGGGTATGAGAACCGCGACATCGCCGACAAGGATTTCCGCAATGACGCCGTGGACGCTGGCGAGATTGGCGCGGGCCACTCCGTCACCGCGCTCTACGAGGTGGTCATGGACCCTGGCTACAAGGGATCGCTTGCGTATGTTCGCGTGCGCCACAAGGAGCCAGAGGGGCACAAGGCAAGCGAGCAGATCTTTATGCTGAACGCGGGGAGCGTGGCGACGAAGCTCTCGGATGCCTCCAAGGACTTCCAGTTCGCGGCAGCCGTGGCGGGATTTGCCGAGATCCTTCGCGGCTCGAAGTACAGCGAGCACTTGACCTATGCGCTCGTCGAGGAGATCGCGCACTCGGCCTCTTCGCCATCGCAGAAGGATCGCCAGGAGTTCATATCGCTTGTTCGCAAGGCGAAGGCGATGTGATCGCTACGGCACGAGTGGTCGGTCGTGCCGAGCAAAAAAGGAGGCCGCGGAAACATTCTGATCGCAGGGGCGAGGAGCCAACCTGGCTGCAGAATGTTTCCGCGGCCTCCTTTTTTGCGTGCGGGAGGTCTTCGCGTCTGGCGACAGGGAGGTTCGTATCATCGTCAAGGATAAGACATGGTTTTGGATGAGAATATCGTTCGAGAACCTGGAAGATAGACGCGCAATAGGGTAGACTTGTGTCGTATTTTTAAACTATGCCCCGAGACACTGACATGCGCATTACTTTAAAGAGTCACGTTCTGTTCTGTTTGCTCGCGCTCCCGCTTTTGACGAGCGCCTGTGTGCTCGGTGATGGCTTCGACGAGGACGCGCTCTTCGAGGACCCCATCGAGGACGAGGTGATCGAGCCCGAGGAGGAGTTCACGCCGACGCCGACCTCTTCAGCGGTCACGAGGCCAGAGGGGCTCCGCGTCTACGAGCCCGAGAACAATCAGCCCAGGACGCGCGCGGTCGGCGGCGAGGATTTGCTCTTGCTCGAGGACGCCACGTTGGCGGTTGCCTCGGATGCGAGCACGGACGCGCTCTACTTTGTGGATGTTCGAGGCGGGAGCGTCTCGGCGACGGCGCTCTTTGAAGAGGGGGCAAACCCCGGGCGCATCTCATCCTCTCAGGAGGGCGTGTATGTGGTGTTGCGCGACGCTGGTGAGGTCGCGCTGGTGGGATTTGACGGTGTGATCAAGGAGCGTGTCGCCGCTTGCCCCGCGCCGCGCGGGGTGGCGATGGACACGACGCGAGAGAAGGTGTGGGTGTCCTGCGCATCGAGCGAGCTGGTGAGTTTCTCGCCAGCCACCTTGGAGAAGCTCGACACCTTTTACATCGACGCTGACTTGCGTGATGTCGTCGCCAATCAAAAGGGGCTCTATGTCTCCAGGTTTCGCGCCGCAGAGGTCCTCTCGATCAACCCAGAGCGCGGCACGATCCGCGAGCGCATGCCGATGCCATCGGTCACTGGCGCCGATTCGGCCCTCGCGCTCAGGACCATCAACTCGCTCTGGCGCATGACTCAGGCAGGTGATGGGGATCTGCTCATGACCTACCAGCAAACGACGGCCAGCCGCCTCAACATTGTCGTCCGGGACGAGGATGACACCAGCAGCGGAGGCTTCGGGAACTTTGGCGGTTACTACGGTGGCTCGTTTGGAGGTTGCGGTGGTGGCGTGTTGTCAGCGGGCATCGTGAGGGTAGACGTCGACGAGGAGGGCGTGCTCCAGGATCACGAGCCTTCGTGTGTCAACGTGGGCGCGCTCCCTGTCGATGTCGATGAAAACAGTTGCGGTGGCTTCACCGTGCTCGCAGCTTCACCGCGGCTCGGTGTGGCGCGCGGGAACGGGTTGCCTACGCAGAGTGATTTCGGCTGCGCACCCCACGAGCCCACAGATCCGCTCGACACCCGGCTCGCGATCGCCTTTGGCCAGGACAGCGCTGGCAACAACTGGGCGGTCACGATGGCGCGCTCACAAGAGCTCTACTTGATGGTGTCCTCGGACAGTTCTGCCGCGCGTCGCGTCGTGCTTGATAAGAACAGCGCGGCGCACGTCGGTCACGTGCTCTTTCACGGCGACACCGGCTTTGGCGTCGCGTGCGCGAGCTGCCACCCCGAAGGAGGCGATGACGGTCACGCCTGGGAGTTCACAAAGATCGACCTCAGGGATGGAGGGAGCACGCTGGATTTCACTCGCCGCACGCAAAACCTGCGCGGCGGCGTCGAGGGCAAGCTCCACTGGACCGGCGAGTTCGAGAACATGGAAGGCTTGATGACGGACGTCTTCGGCGATCGCATGGGTGGCTTCACGATGCACGCCCAGGATACCGCCGCCATCGATGACTGGCTCGAGATCCTCGAGCCCGAGTCCGGCATGACGCTTCCTCCCGGAGATCGCCTGCTGCTCGAACGCGGCCAGGAGCTCTACACCTCGACAGGATGTGCAGGGTGCCACTCGGGCGCGATGCTCACCGATTACAAGCTCTACGATGTGGGCACCAATGGCTTGCGAAAGACACCGACCTTGCGCGGCATCGCGCAGCGCCGACGCCTGATGTCTGATGGCTGCGGCGAGAGCCTCGAGGATCGTTTCTTCGCCCCCTGCGGAGGCGATGCTCACGGCGACCTCTCGGATCTTGACGAGCAGGATCAGGCCGCGCTGATCGCGTACCTGAAGACCTTGTGAGGATACGGTTCTCTTCCCAGTTCTCGACTTCCCTCTGATGCTCGGTTCATCCTACAATCGAGTTCAGAACACCTGTTCGAAATCACTGGAGGGAGAATGAAGTCGAAGGTGCATGTGAGCTTGTGGGTTTGTGGTGCGTTGTCTCTGACGTTCACCGCGTGCAAGAGCAAACCCGAGGAGAAGTCCGACCCCACACCCGTCGAGGAGAAGGTCGAAGCCAAGGAAGAGCCCACAGAAGAAGTCGTCGAGAAAGAGCCCGAGTATTGCGAGGATGGCGCCGAGGAGTACTCGCGTCAGCAATACCGTTGGTGCATGCGCGATGGCGTCATCGACGGCAACTTCACCGCGTATGATACCGACGGTAACGTCCAGATGACGGGCTCCTTCAAACAAGGCAACCTCCAGGGAACCTGGGTCGACTACTACCCTGACGGAAATAAACGCTGGTCCGTCGAATTCGACGATGGCAAGGAGAATGGCCTCGTTCAGGGGTGGTATTCGAACGGCGCCGAGCACTACAAGATCCCGTATGTCGCCGGAGCGCGAGAGGGGGACGCGCTCTACTACTACAGCGATGCCACCAAGGCCGCGTCGCTACACTACGACGAGGGAAAGCCCGCTGGCACCTGGACCTACTGGCACCCCAACGGTCAGAAGGCGCACGAGTACGCGCCAGACAAGAAGGGAAAGGCGGGGATTCACCAGCACTGGGATGAGAGCGGCAAGACCAAGAAGCCTGTGGTCGGCCAGCTCCCGAAATCACAGATTTATCCCGTGGTCGAGCCGCTCGGCGAGCTCGTCGTGAAGTGCTACCAGCACGCGCGCATCTTCGATAAGTCGAGCGGGAAGCTCGTCGCGCAGATGACCATCGGTTATGGCGGAGAGGTCTCGAACATCAGCATCTTCGAGTCTGACTTCGAGCACCCGTTCATGTCCGCGTGCGCCAGAAGGCATATCGAATCACTGACCTTCCCGGACAACCCCTACGGACCAAAGACCTTGATCCGAAGCTGGGAGCTCTCGGTCGAGTGATTTAGCGCGCGAGCTCTTTGGCCAGGAACTTCCCGGTGTAAGAGCCCTTGACCTTGGCGACCTCTTCCGGTGTCCCCACCGCGATGAGTTCGCCACCTTTATCCCCGCCCTCGGGGCCGAGGTCGATCAGGTAATCCGCGTATTTGATGATGTCGAGGTTGTGCTCGATCATCACCACCGTGTTGCCCGCATCGACCAGGCGATCGACGACCTTGAGCAGCTTGTGGATATCCTCGAAGTGGAGGCCGGTGCTCGGCTCGTCGAGGATGTAGAGCGTGTCCCCAGTGGCGATCTTTGCGAGCTCGCGCGAGAGCTTGATGCGCTGCGCCTCGCCGCCAGAGAGGGTGGGGGAGGGCTGCCCGAGGTGCAGGTAATCCAGGCCCACGTCGAGCAAGGTTTGCAGAATGCGCGAGATCTTCGGGTGCGCCTCGAACAACTCGTAAGCCTCGGCGATCGTCATGTCGAGAACATCCGAGACGCTGTGCCCCTTGTAGGTCACGCGCAGCGTGGTGTCGTTAAAGCGCTTCCCGAGGCAAACCTCGCAAGGCACATACACATCGGCCAAAAAGCTCATCTCGATCTTCTTGGCGCCATCCCCCTTGCACTCCTCGCAACGACCGCCCGCGACGTTGAAGCTAAAGCGCCCCTTGTCAAAGCCGTACATCTTGGACTCGGGAAGGTTGGCGAACGAGGTGCGGATATGATCGAAGACCTTGGTGTAGGTCGCCGGGTTCGAGCGCGGCGTGCGACCGATCGGCTTCTGGTCGATCTCGATGACCTTGTCGAAGAGGTCCAATCCCTCGATCGACTCGTGCGCTCCGACGGTGCGGTGCTTGTGGTAAACGTGTCGCGCGATGGCTGGGTAGAGGATGTCGTTGACCAGGGTCGACTTGCCTGCGCCCGAGACACCAGTCACGCAGACAAAGCACCCTTTCGGGATGCGCACATCCACGCCCTGGAGGTTGTGCGCCGAGGCTCCCTTGATGATAAACGCGTCGCCATCATTCGGGCGGCGCTGTGCCGGGATCGGGATCTCTTTCCTGCCCGCGAGGTAATCGCCCGTGATCGTGCCGTGTGAATCACAGATTTGCTCGAAGCTTCCGCTGGCGACGATGTCTCCGCCTTTCTTGCCCGCGCCTGGGCCAAAGTCGACGATGTAATCTGCGACCTCCATCGTGTCACGGTCGTGCTCGACGACGAGCACAGAGTTGCCGCGATCTCGCAAGTCTTGCAGCGTCTCCAGGAGCTGTTGGTTGTCGCGTTGGTGGAGCCCGATGCTCGGCTCGTCGAGTACGTACAGAATGCCCGAGAGCTCGCTGCCGAGCTGGCTCGCCAGGCGAATGCGCTGCGCTTCCCCGCCCGAGAGCGTGTCGGCGGTGCGGTGCAGATCAAGGTATTGCAACCCCACGTTCTCTAGAAACCGGAGGCGATCTTTGAGCTCCTTGAGCAGCTCGCCGCCGATCAGGAGCGCGTCCCCTTCGAGCTCGACCTCGTCAAAGAACGCGCGCGATCGATCGATGCTCTCGAGGCAAAGGTCGGTGATGCGCGCGCCCTCGAAGACAACCGCCGCGCTCTCCGGGCGAAGCCGTCCACCCTCGCAGCTATCACACGTCTGGCGCGTCAGAAACTCCTTGAAGAAGTCGCGCGTGGCAGACTTCCTCGCGTTGCTCAAGACCGACTCGAGCTCGTGGACGACCCCCTTGAACCCGCGCGGGTGCTTGCGACGTCCCCGCGTGGAGCCATAGAGGATGTAGTTGCGATCCTCTTGCTTGATGTCTTGCCATGGCTGGTTGATGGGAAGATCCATCTTCTCGGCGACCTCGATGAGCTCTTTCCAGATCGGCTTGACCTCTTTCTTGTAGGCGAACTTCTTGCCTTCCTCACTCTTGGGGTTTGGCCCGAGCGCCTCGATGGCGCCATCGAGCACGCTGCGTTCGGGCTCGATGACGAGCACGTCCGGGTCCATCTGCTCCTGCATTCCCAGGCCGCGACAGCTCGGGCATTGGCCCGTGGGGGTGTTGAAGGAGAAGGACTGGTGGGTGAGCTCGGGGAAGGCGATCTTGCAATTGAGGCAGGTGCGTTGCGTGCTGTAGAGTTGCTCCTCGGGCTCGCCCTCCTTGGGGCTCGTCAGCACGATGCAGCCACCTTCGCCATGACGGAGCGCCAGCCTGACGCTCTCGTCGATGCGCTTGGCGGCGTCCTTCTTGACGATCAAACGATCGACGACGATGTCGATGTCGTGTTTGTAGGTCTTGCGCAGCTTGGTGACCTGATCGAGCTCCTCGATCTCGCCATCGATCCTGGCGCGCACGAACCCCTGCTTGCGCATCTTGTCGAACAGATCCTTGAACTCACCTTTGCGGTTGCGGACCTGCGGCGAGAGGATCATCAGGCGCGTTTTCTCGGGGAGGGTGAGGATCTCGTCGACGATCGCTTCGGCCTTCATCGAAGACACCGGCGAGCCACACTGATGACAGCGCTGCTCGCCGAGCTTTGACCAGAGCACGCGCATGTGATCGTAGATCTCGGTGATCGTGCCGACGGTGGAGCGCGGGTTGTTGCTCGTGGTCTTCTGCTCGATCGAGATCGTCGGGCTCAAGCCGATGATTTGATCGAAGTCGGGCTTCTCCATCTGCCCCAGGAACTGGCGCGCGTATGTCGAGAGTGATTCGACGTAGCGACGCCGCCCCTCGGCATAGATCGTGTCGAAGGCGAGGCTCGATTTGCCGGAGCCGCTCGGCCCGGTGAACACGATCAGGCTGCGCTTTGGCAGCGTCACGTCGAGGTTCTTGAGGTTGTGCTCTCTGGCACCTCGAACCACGATCGCCTGATTGCTCGTCACGAGCGTCGGCAAGTCCGCGTCTCCCTGGAGGGTCTCGAGCGCGGGGCTCTCTTGCTCTTTCTCTTCTGTCGCTTCGATCGTCGGTTGTGCCGTCATCGCTCTCACGCTCGCGCGTCGCGCGCTCTGCTTGGGGTAGGTCTGTCACTGGCGGGGAACACCCGCGGTTGGATGCTCGCTGACACGCATGGGGTGCTTACCACGCATGTCGAAAGGAGGGAGCGAGCACTGAACAAACGTAGCGACTTTAAGCAAAAACGCAAGGCCCCGAACGCGTTGTTTTCTTACTCGTGACAGTCAACGCTCAGGATCACGGATCGACCTCGGTGACTTCGAGCTTCACGCTCTCGAAGGTGCTCTGTCTGGACTCGTCGCGACAGATGGTGTCACCGCCGCGCGCGGGCGCACCCTCGAACTCCAGGAGATGATCGCACCAGAGGAGCGTCGAGATCGATCCCTTCTCGGGAGGCTTCCCCGCGTACTTTCGAAGCTCCAGGACGACCTGATCCGGCTCGCCCGTGTCGGGGTCAATATAGATGGAGTAAATGCTCTCTCCGTATGGCCAGGTGTTCCTGGAGCTCTCGGGGCCTTCGCCCTCGATTGTAGAGAGGCAGTGCCAGTGTTTTTCGCCTCCCTGAATCTCCCTCCCCCCGCTGAGGGTGATGCTCGTGCACTCCGGGGGTGGGAAGTCGAGGCGTCCTTCTTCCACGACCACGACCTCGAGTTCTCCCTCGGCCGTGCGCTGACCGAGGAGTTTGTATTCGAAAGAACGCGGCTTGTCGTAGCCGCTCTCTTCGAGGTCCTCGGCCGCTCGTGCGAGTTGTCGGTTGTAGCAGCCGGGGAGGGCGCCCGAAATAAACAGCGCCAGAGAAACAAGGTAGACCTTCTTCATGACAGATTGCCTCGCTAAAAGGAGTAGTTTGAAACAGCACTCCTTTGGAGTAATGCAATGTGCCGGATGGACGTCTGTTTTGTTATGAAATTTTTAATGTGTCGCGGAGCTGGTGAAACCACGCGTTCATCTCCTCGAGCGTTTCGATAAAACGCGAGGCCTTGAAGAACGTGAGTCGTTCGAGCCTTTGCGCTTCTTCCTCGGGGAGCGCCTCGTGCAAATACCTGCTCCCGAAGTCGAAGGTGTCCGGCCTGTATGTCGCGCCGAGCATCGTGTGGAGGAGCCCGAGGCTGGCGCGGTAGTACCCGTGCGCGTCGATGTCTCGACCTCTGGCGATCTCCTTGTTCGCAAGCCTGAGATAGATCCTCGACGCCTCCCACGCGTGCTCGCAGGCGCGCTTCATCCTTGCCTCGTGTGCCTCGCGGTCGAGCGCGCATGGGATAACCTCGCCATCGCGATCGAGGATCACGATCGGTTCACCGTGACGCTCTCGCTCGAGGATCGGGATCGGCTGTGAGGCAGGAAATAACACCACGTCGAGCATAAAGTAAGGAGGTGCATCCTCGAGGATGTACACGCGCTGTTCCATGCCTGGCCACAATCCCTTGCCTGGGCTCCAGCGTTGTTCGACCTTCGCGATCTTCGAGAGCGCCGCCTCGAACACCTCCCATATTCGCGCGAACGCCTCGTCCTCGGCGTGCATACAGATGTCGATGTCCGAATACTCGTCGAGCGCCCCGCGCGCCGCCGAGCCGCCCTCCCACAGGGCGCGAACAGGCTCGAGCTCGCGCAGCACAGGATAGAGGTGTTCGCGTATGTGGTTGCGGTAAGCGCTCTCGTCGTGGTCGTGAGTCACGAGCTTCCTTTGCCAGGGGGGAGAGGGTTCAAAGGATGATTTCGAGTCCGTTTTCGATGCGCGCCTCGACGTTCGGGAGGTCGCTCTCGGGATCAAAGAACGCGTGGCGCATGACCAGCTTCTTCAGGCGCGGCAGCGCGCCGCTCGCGAACGCTTCTTCGAGGCGTTCGTCGAGGCGCTCTCGAACGAGGTTGTCCGAGATGTCGAGCTCTTCGAGGTTTTGTAGCGCCGGGCTGTAGAGGATCTGTTCGAGGCTCTTTTCGGTGAACTTGTTGTCCGAGAGGTCGAGCTTCTTTAGCAAAGGCCAGTCGTCCTTTTCTCCCAGTTGCTTGAACGCGGTGTCCGTCAGGTGGCACTTGTTCAGGTTGAGCTCGACGAGGTTTGGCGCAGGGGTCGTAAAGAGGCTCTCGCCGCCCGCTGTGCGGAGCTTGTTGTCCGATAGGTTGACGCGCTCGATCTTTGGCCAGATGGGACCCTCGAGCAGCTCGTCGAGCCCGGCGCTCGTGATCCTGTTCTTGGCCGGGGTGTTCACCCCCGTCTTGCCGCCGCTCAGGTCGAGCGTTCGCAACCCCGAGAGCCCTGACCTGGCACCAAAGATATGCATGTCATGATCTTCGAGCAGGCAGCCGCTCAGGATAAGCCGGGTGATGTTGCTCACCGCGCTCGATTTAAACATCCCGCTCGCTGTGCGCCAGGTCAGGCGGACCTGCGAGAGCTGCAAGCGCTCGAGCCCGGTGAGCACGGGCGTATCGATAAGGTCCTCGAACCCCTGCGTCGTGACGCGGTAGAGGTCGAGGCTTCGCAGCTTGCCTTGTTTCAGGTTGGCGAGCGCGCTGATGTCAGCGCGCGTGCCGTAATCGATGCTCAGGTGCTCGAGCTCGCCATACTCCACGATCGCGCGAATAAGGCTTGGCCCCGCGCTCACTCTCTCCAGCGTCATCGCCCTCAAGCAGGTCTCGCTCAACGCGTCGAGCAGCGGCTTCATGGGCCGATACCCGTAGGTGTATCGAAGCCACGTGACATGTTCACGCAGCGGTGATTTGGCGAACAACTCGGCGCTCGACTCGCCAGCGCCGCCAAGGTCTAGCCCCACCACGCAGGGGCTCCAGACAGGGTTCTCACTCAGCGCGCGATGGGCCAGGTGCTTCGAGACGGTCAACTCCTGGAGCCATTGCTCGCGCCAGGAGTCATCGCTCGGGGCAAAATGCCCTGGAGAGCGTGAGCGCCAGCGCGCGGCGTGTCCTCGGATGTACTGGCGGAGTTGGTTCTCTGGCTTCCCCTCTTCGAGCATCTTGCTCGTGTGAGAGATCAGCGATGAGAGCGCGTCGCGGGAAGGGCGCGCGTGAAGAATGGAGCGTATCTCACCGAAATCAAGCGAGGCGCTCGTACTCATAAGAGTTCCTGTGAAGCTCGGGGAGGATCACTTGAGGCCACGGACGCGATAGATGTCGACGTGCTCGAGCTTCCCCTTGAGCTTTGTCGGCGGGAGGAGCTCGGTGGTGAAGAGGTGACCGACCTGCGCGTGGGTGTTCTGGCCAATGAGCACCTCGCCAGGTCCGGCCGCGGAGCAGAACCTCGCGGCGGTGTTCACCGTGTTGCCCATCACCGTGTAGTTCATGCTGCGCGTCGAGCCCATGTAACCGGCGACGACCTCGCCAGTGTTCAGGCCGATGCCGATGCGGATCGTTTGCTCGCCCTGAGCGGCGCGGACCTGGTTGAGCTCGTGGAGCATCTGCTGCATCTCGACGGCGGCCTTGACCGCGCGCTCGGTGTCATCTTCCTCGGAGAGAGGGGCGCCCCAGACGGCCATGATCTCATCGCCGATGAACTTGTCGAGCGTGCCGCGGTACTTGAAGATGATGTCGACCATATACTCGAAGTACTCGTTGAGCATGATGACGACCTCCTGGGGCGCGATCTGCTCGCTCAACGTGGTGAACCCGCGAATATCGGCGAACATCACCGTGGCCAACCTGAGCTCGCCCCCCTTCTTGAGCTCGAGGCGGCCAGAGAGGACCTCCTCGACAAGCTGCGGGGAGAGCAATCGGTTGAGGTGTTCCTTGGCCTGGATCTCGGCGCGCATCTTCTCGAGCAGGCGGTTGTGCTCGATCATCATCGCCGCCTGGCGCGCGAAGCCCGTCAGGATCTGGAGGTCTTTCTCGGTGAAGGCGCCGCGCGCGATGCGCGAGTCGAGGTGGATGATTCCTAACACCGCGTCATCGTGTAAGAGCGGGACGCTCATCGTCGAGCGGATCTGCTCGAGGACGATCGAGTGCGCCTTGTTAAAGCGCGAGTCCATCATCGCATCGCTCGAGAGGACGGCCTGCTTCTCCTCGAGGATCTCGTTGATGATCGTCTGCGAGATGCGCACGTTGTCGATGTCCGCGTTGCCAGAGCGTGACTTCACGATCATCGGCAACAGCTCTGCCGGATCGGCGTTCGGATCGAGGCTCGCGTAGCCGCTCGTGTGATCGCGCCGCAGCAAGATCACGCCGCGATCGGCGGGGAAGATCTCGAAGGCCTTGTCCATGATCTTCTGGAGCAAGACCTGGAGATCCATCTCCAGACCGATCGACTGGTTAAGCTCGTGCGAGATGCGCAACTTCTCGTAGTCGCGTCGAAGCGATCCGGCGTCCTTGATCTCGACCTCCGGGAGGAAGCGCTCCTTGTCCATGCCCGCCAACCTGGAGCGGATATGGGTCTCCATGCCGTCGGCGTGGATCGTCACGCGACCACCCGCAGAGAGCGGCTGGGTCTTTGGATCATCGTGGAAGAAGAGTTCGGTGGAGCCGATCGTGATCTTGTCGCCGTTCTTGAGCTTGCTCGCGCCATCGAGCAGCTCGCCGTTGACGTAGGTGCCGTTGCGAGAGCCCCCGTCCTGAACGATGAAGCCCCCATCTGGCATCTTGCGCACGACCGCGTGCGCCTTGGAGACGACGCGATCCAACAACTGGATCGTCTGATTGGGGTGCCGCCCGATCGTCGCCTGGTCGGTCAGAGGGCATTCACACAAAACCCCTTGCGCATCTCTGTAAGACAACTTCGCCATGGTTCTCGGTGCTGTGTGACTCGTATCGAGCGCGCCAATGAAGGAATAGGTCTCCCCACAACAACTCTTATTCTTCCGCAACCCCGATCGATACGATCGCTGGGCTTGGGTGTGGAGAGAGGTTCGTACAGGTTCCTTCTGGACAACTCGTTGGCCTCGGAGAAGATCGCATAGATCCCTGAAGTCGACAACCTCCCAAAGCACATCTTGTTCCAGGCGTCGTGACAGGCTAGTACTTTCGAGCGCTCGTTTGCTTCCTCTTGCCCCGATAATGCGCCCATGTCTGACTCTCCTACCATCCTCCTCGTCGACGATGAGATCGCACACCTCAAGACCCTCGAGAAGCTCTTCGGACGCGAAGGCTACAATGTGTTGTGCGCCGAGGATGGGCAGCAGGCGCTCGACGCGATCCGCCAACAAGCCCCCGAGCTCGTCATCACCGATCTGATGATGCCGGGCGATATCGACGGCATGGATCTGCTCGGCCTGATCAAGAAGCTCACACCCGAGACCGAGGTCATCCTGATGACCGCGTTCGGCACCGTCGAGCTCGCCGTCCAGGGGATGAAGGAGGGCGCCTATGACTTTATCACCAAGCCGCTCAAGCGCGCGATCGTATTAAAGTCCGCCAGACAGGCGCTCGAGCGCCAGGCGCTGCTGGCAGAAAACAGGGAACTCCGCGCGCGCCTCGCCAAGCTCCACGGCGATCGCGACATCATCGGGCAATCCGAAGCATTGCGCCGCGCCACAGAGCTCGTCGGCCAGGTCGCCACGAGCGATGCCACTGTGCTGCTGACGGGCGAGTCAGGCACCGGAAAGGAGCTCTTCGCGAGGATGCTCTACGCCGCCAGTGATCGCAGCGAGGGGCCGTTTCTTGCCGTCAACTGCGCCGCGCTCCCCGAGTCGATCCTCGAGAGCGAATTGTTCGGTTACGAGAAAGGCGCCTTTACAGGCGCCAACCAACGAAAGATCGGCCGCTTCGAGGCGGCCGATGGCGGCACGCTGTTTCTCGACGAGATCGGCGAGCTCTCGCCGCAAGTTCAGGTCCGTCTGCTCAGGGTGTTGCAGGAGGGGAGCTTCGAGAGGCTGGGCTCGAACGAGACCACGCACGTCGACGTCAGGATCGTGGCGGCGACCAACCGCGACCTCGAGGTGGAGATGCGCGAGGGGAACTTTCGCGAGGATCTCTTCTACCGCCTCAACGTCATCAACATCCACATCCCCCCACTGCGCCGCCGCCTCGAGGATGTATCACTGCTCGCCGAGCACTTCCTCGCGCGCTACGGCGCCAAGAACTCGCGCGAGATCTCGGGGCTCTCATCCGAGGCGCTCGCCGCACTCGGCTCGTATAAATGGCCGGGGAACGTGCGCGAGCTCGAGAACGTCGTCGAGCGCGCGGTCGTCCTCGATCGCGACGGCCTGATCGACCTCGATGATCTGCCCCCGCATATCGTCGAGGGCGCCGATCTCACGACCACCAACTCCTCGATCACGATCCCGCTCGGCACCCCGCTCGACGAGATCGAGAAGATGGTCATCGACGAGACGCTCAAGCTGACCGGCGGCAACAAGAAGATGGCCGCGCAACTCCTGGGCATCGCCACGCGCACGATCTATCGCAAGCTCTGAGATGAAGCGTCTGCGGAGGTCTTGCAAAACACCAGGGTAAAATGAATACAGGCGCGTGTTCGTCGTCACCTGTTGCGGGCTTGTCAGCGAACGCGAGTTGTGGTGGAACTGCGTGCGTTTGCTGGTTTTGTTTCAACCGAAATGTTTGTTCGAGGAAGTATCGCTCATGCAAAGGTCTTTGCTGTTGTTGCTCGGTTTGGCTTGCCTGATGGCGGGTTGCATCACGATTCCTCCGGTCGATCCTCCAAAGGTTCAGATCTCGCCAGACTTGAAGGCAGGCCGCACGGTCTTCTTCAAGCCGACGTGCCGCGGCGCGGGCGGATGCCCGAGCTCGTTCACCTCGACCCTTGTAGGGAGGTTGACCTCGGAGCTCGAGTTCAAGGGGTATCAGTTCATCGTCGGCGAGGAGTTGTTCGCCGAGGCCAGACGCCGTCAGAAGGCTGGCGGTCAGGTCACGGGTGATTCTCCGTTCGGGGATTACTGGATTCAGGCAGGCGGGATGACCGAGCAGGTGTTGACCTACGAGGATCTTCCTCCGGCGGGAAAGCGCGCGTTGCTCGAGGAGGCGAGGGCGGATGGCGTCCTGGTGCTCAACATTCTGGTCGGCGAGGACGCCGAGGCGGATAACTTCATGTATGAGATCCGCGCCTTCGAGGTGACGGCGCGCTATACGATGGGGCCAGATGAGGCGCCAGGTTGGGTGGCGCGATGTGGCGCCTTCGGTGAGAACCGCAAGGTCCTGGGGAGCCCCGGCGTGACGTATGCGCAGGCCGCGGACAAGATCGCCAGGTGTCTGGTCGCGCAGCTCGAGAAGTGAGCGTGCCGGTGACGAGGTGCGTGTCGCCTTGCAAAAAGAAGCCGCCGAACATTTATGCTGCGAGGTTGGAGTCGTCTGATTCCGTACAGCATAAATGTTCGGCGGCTTCTTTTTGCGGCCACCGTCTGGTGGTTCGAGCGCGACCTCTTGTCTTCTTGTCACTTGCCCCCCATGATGGCGCCCCGTTCGGGGCCTGGTTTTCGCGTTTTCGAGGGGGTTTCGGGCGATTTTTTCGAGCAATCGCAGGATCGATTGACAAAATGTCACACGGCCTGAATGAGATCCTGCCGGATTGACAAAATGTCAATTTCGAGGGGTCATGGCAGCCCGCAGGACCGCATAAAATCGTGCGAATGAAGCTGGCCCGGAAATTGCTTTGGAGTATGGAGACGCTTCTGGCTGTCTCTCGGCCCCTGAAAACACGGGGGTGATGCGAGGGCAGGAAAACGAAAGCGAAGAAGGAAGAGTAAGCAGAGATGGAGAACATCTTCAGAAAATATGGTTGGGCGATGCGCCTGGGGTTGATCGCCGTCGCGTGCTTCTTGCTCGCGTCCGGGGTCAACGCCTTCGTCGCGAGCAAGCTCGCGCCGTACACGGTGCCGACGCTGCCTGACCTGACCGCCTCCAAGGGCGCGGACAAGCCGAGCAAGGGCGCGTCCAGGAACCCGAGGGCGGTCAATCGAGTCAAGACGATCTCGGGGCGCTGTTATTTTGGCTGCGTCGAGCCCGAGGATCTCCCCGAGAAGGAGTGCAAGGAACCTTGCGCCGAGGGCGAGAAGTGCGTCGAGGGTGTCTG